TGAAGGACAAAAACCATTGACTTTAGCTTTTTTCGCCTCAGACTACACATAAGGCGCTGTTATTTCTCATGACACGGAGAACAGTGAGGAATGAAGCGATTGCGCACATTGACACTAAGTAAAGGGAATTATGCGCTACTTGAGATAGAAGTTCCAGCTCTTAGATTTGGAGGGGGAAATTCCACAAATATCTGTATGATCGCAGAATGACACTGGTTAACGACAATAAGCCGTTGACCATTTGGAGGCCAAAACAGGAGTACCAACCACTCAATGTCGCAAGGCCGCAGACCACGGTAACGTTGACGCATTCTCTGAGGAAGCAGCCATCTTCCACTTCTCATATTTAGATGCTCTTCCGATTGTTGTAGATGTTATCAGTCAGGTAACGCGGAAACATCCCGCTCTGTCGCGGGTATTATATTACATTCTCCGGGGTGGCCAAATCAGGCAACAGATTCGAAGCTGCAACCATACTTTCAGCGCCGAGACCACTTATCAACCGAGCAAGGATGTATTCCTTTGGGACTCAGTATCATTATTCCGCCAACATACAGAGAACGATTACTAGCGGATCTACACGATCAACACATCGGTATGTGTTGGATGGAAGCGATAGCAATAACCTATTTACACTGGTCTAGATATGATAAGGAAATCGATCCGCTAGCGAATGCTTATAGTGTTTGTCAAGCAGTTCGTAAACTGCCGGCAATGATATCACTCAACCTCTGGAGCTGGCCTTCACTAACCTAACTTTCTTGTGGACCATTGACAGCCATTCCAGGTGGTTAGAATGTGTCTATATGTCTACCACTGCGTCTGCGAAGACAATCCAAATTTTACGCTGCTTGATTGGATCTTACGGTCTTCCCGAGGAATTCGTATAGGATAACAGACCGAAGTTCATATCCTCCGAGTTTGTGCTTGAGAAATAATGGGTTGAAACACACTTTATTGGCGCCATTTCACCCTGTCTCTAATGGGGCTGCAGAAAGAAGGATTCAAATTCTGAAACAGACCTTAATCAAACATTTCTTAGATTGTGATCACGCCTTACCGGTACAACACCAGCAGAACTTTCCCAGAAAGGACAGCTACGATCGAAATTCAATCCTCTGAAACCGAATGTGTTGGTCTTCAACAGGAGTCGCAGAAAAGTATCATGACAAGATGCATGTTTAACCAGCCAGTGCGAGAATGAAACTTCAAGTGGAGGGAGTGGTAGAAGCATCAGGTGTGTGCATGGATACCATCTATTGTCTACCGCTGAGGAATATGTTGAACTGTTTGAACATGACGACAAACTGCTCGTGAGTGTACCACTAAACATTCACCCAGAGACGTTGGAGAATAAGTCTGCTGTTGTACCTACTGAGCTTCGTGTGGACGGGAGTTGTTCAGTGTCGTTAAAGCCGTCCATCCAGTCTCCTAAACTCGGTATCCGATGCCTATCCCTAAACCAGTTGTAGTATCTACAAGGACAGCAAATGTTTCCGGATCTAGAGTTCTCCCAGCCACAGAGACGATATCCCTCCAAGCAAACTAAGCAATGAAGAGACTTGACTACTTGTGAACTCTGTTCCAACCAAAGTCAACTGGTTATTGCAAGGTAATTTAATTAATTTGATTTCATTAATTAATTTTCGAGTTCAAGTGCTCCCGGTGATGGAGGAACTCATATTCTTCGGAATTGTTTAAATTTTCTTTATGTAGAACTATTACAATAAGAGTCTGGGCCCAAATTGATCCTTATGAATCCAGTGGATTCGCAAGTAATTCTCGCCTCTTGTATTGAAAGGTTGAAGCTGTCAGTCAGTGTACTAAGAAATCCCTCTGAAACATTCCAGCTAAAAGTGAGGAGTTTCGTGAGTTTTATCAGTTATAATAGTGTTAAGCGGATCCTTAAAGTTTTTGGTAATTCCCGGAACTCATCTGTTTTGTACCATTACATAGTAAAAAGTGTTCCGAGTAATACAGTTGAATGTGAACAGCTATTGTCATGTCCCGTGGATTCGGGCAAATATATTACAAACATGTGTTAGGCTTCTTCCCCCTTACAGAATCTTTAAAGTTTGTATTCACACGTCCATATCAATGTTAATCTGGTCATAATCATGGACACATAAGAAGGCATAAATTTTGTAATTTATGGTTGAGCATGCACAGACAAAATACAAAATGAATCCTGTACCTTGAGGATGAATTTAACTGCGTCAGGCGGTTCAGAAAAACCCAAGGCTACTCAGGTCGCCATCGTGCTTCACTCCATCGGCCTGGAGATATACAACAATTTCATGTTTGAAAATGATGGGGACAACATGAAGTTGAAACCCGTGCTAGACAAGTTCCGGGAGTATTGCAACCCGAGAAAAAACACGGTAATTGAGAGTTACATGTTCTGGGAAACTTAACAGAGAGATGGTGAGTCGATAGACCATTTCGTTACTGAACTAAAATCACGTGCAATGAACTATGAATTTGGTGACCAGAGAGATGTGATGATTAGAGAAAGAGTTATCTTTGGCATTGATAATAATCGCTTGAAAGAACGACTGTTAAGAGATTGAGCAGACCCCTCTCTAAATCGCGTGATTGAGATATGTAGAGCCTCAGAGGCGAGTGCAAGGCAGATTAAGGAAATATCTGAGCCCTGTACTTCTACAAGCACTAGTGCTGCCGCTACAGCTGTCCATGCAGTAAGCAAACGTAAACAATCGTTCGGTGGTAAACAACACAAACAACCACAGAAAACACAACATAAACAACAACACGCTGCTACGAGCAAATGGAAATGTAGGAACTGTGGCAAGTCACACCCTAATAATGAATGTCCTGCGTTTGGTAAACAGTGCCATAAGTGCGGTTAAACAATCACTTCATGAATATGTGTCGCGACGGTAAGAGGAATGGGCATAGGAACCATGTATGCCTTAGCAGAGAAGGACATTGATAATTTTAGTGATCTATTTATAGGAGAACTACAGATTGGGCAGACAAATGACACTTGTAAAACAGGCTGGTTTACAAGTTTAAAGGTAAACAATCAAAACATTCAATTCAAACTCGACACCGGCGCGGAGGCTAACGTTATGCCGTTAGCGTGCTTCGAGAAGCTGAACAGAAATCCTAAGCTTCAATGGACAAATATAGTGTTGTCGGCCTATGGTGGACACAAAGTCAAGCCTACAGGGAAGACTATTTTGAGGTGTAGAAACACAGACATTGAGATCTATATAGCTGATGTCAAGTCGCCACCGATTTTAAGACTTCGAACATGCAAGGAGCTATAACTGGTTGAAAAAACAGACAATAAATCGGACATGTACACAGTTCAGAAGGGACAAAGTGGGACACTTACCAAGTTGAAACTGATTGCCCATAATCAGGATGTATTCACAGGAATCGGTACGTTCAAAGGTTAGTACCATACTGATCTTGACCCAAGTGTTCAACCTTTTATACACTCACCCCGAAAGATACTTTTCAGTTTGCAGTCAAGGCTGCAGGAGATTTTACGTAAACTCGAAGCAGATGACGTCATCGCTGCGGTTGAAAGACCCACCGAATGGGTTTATAGTATTGTTCTTGTGGAAAGGAAAAATAGATCCCTAAGGATTTGTCTCGACCCAAGAGACCGTAATACGACAATCAAAAGGGAACACTACATAATCCCCACCCCAGAGGACATCTCTGCGGAACTCCACGACAGGAAGGTTTTTCTCGATCCATGACGAAAAGGATGGGTACTGGCAGGTCGCGTTGGACGAGCCATCTTCGTATTTGTGTACTTTCAATACGCCATTTGGCAGGTACAGATTCAAACGTATGCCCTTTGGTATAACCTCAGCGGGCGAATATTTCAGAAGAAGAACCAGGAACCTTCGGAGACATCCATGGTGTGAGGATGATTGCTGACGATATGATAATCGCAGCTAAGGATTCTGTAGAACATGACAACATCATTACCAAGGTGATTGAGAGAGCAAGGGAACAGAACATTAATTTCAATCCGTCAAAAATCCAATTCAAGGTGGACATGGTCAAATACACGGGCAATGTCACTACACAAGAAGGGCTAAAACCCGACGCAGACAAGATTGAGGCAATCGTATTCATGCCTACTCCCAGGGATAAACCAGCTCTACAAAGACTGTTTGGTATGGTGAACTATTTGTCTAAGTACATTCCGAACATGTCGGAAATTACCTCCCCTTTGAGAGAACTACTCAAAAGGACATCGCTTGGACCTGGGATGTGACACATGATCGTGCACTGAAAGTCAAGGACGTCTTCACAGCGAAAACTGTCCTCAGTTTCTTCGACTCTTCGCAAAACGGTCTTGGAGCGTGCTTAATGCAGGAGGGGAAACCAATCGCATACGCGTCAAGGTCACTCACGTCGTCGGAGAAAAACTATGCGCAAATAGAATAAGAACCGTTAGCTATTGTGTTCTCATGCGACAAGTTCTGATCACAAGCCCCTAGAGACAATCACCAGGAAACCTCTGTCCAGAGCCTCACCAAGACTACAAAGGATGTTACTAAGGTTACAACGGTATCAGATCAACACTACATATGTACCTGTAAAGTATATGTTTATAGCCGATACGCTGTCTAGAGCCTATCTCCCTACCACTGGGGACACCACAGAGCTCAACAAGGAGATGGAAGTCATGGTCCATGGATTGGTAACAAGCTTATCAGTAAGCCCGTCAAAGCTTGGCCAACTTGTTAATGCCACAGGACTGCGAGCTACATGATTTAGTCGCTACTGTGAAAAGGGGTTGGCCAATAGTGAAATCGGAGAGCCTCATGTCAGTACGCCCATAATGGACAATCAGAGACGAGATATTTGAGGCTGAAGGACTACTGTTCTATGGCGAGAAGTTGATCATCCCTAAACAACTTCGTCGTGAAATGCTCGCAACCATTCACGAGTGTCACCTCGGAATGGAAAAGTGCAAGTCAAGTGCTCGCGCGAGCGTCTATTGGCCAAACATGTCCTGGGACATTGAGGATTTTGTATCGCGATGTTCCACATGCAACAGATTCAAGCCCAAGCAGATAAAGGAACCTCTAATTCCTCACAAAGTACCTGATTGGCCATGGCAGAAGCTGGGAATGGACTTATCCCAGTTTGGTCACAGAAACTATCTTGTAGTAGTAGACTATTTCTCCAAATATCCTGAAATTTGCATGCTAGAGAACAAAACGGCTAGCAACGTTATCACCCAGCTGAAGTCGATACTAGCAAGGCATGGCATCCCAGAGGTCATCATGTCTGACAACATGATATTCAGTTCTAGAACATTCAGAGAGGAAATGGGACATAGAACTAGTGACGTCGAGTCTAACGGTCTTAGTGAACGGATGGTGCAAACCATCAAGAATTTTCTCAGGAAAGCTGAGGAAGACAACAGTGACCCATATATTGCAGTGCTGGAATACAGGAACACTCCGTTAGCAGGAACGGACTATTCGCCAGCACAGCTATTGATGAGCAGGAAGTTGATGTCAAGGATACCCACTCATTGACCCCCAAGGTTGCCCACAGTGCATCTGAGCAACTCCGATCACGTCATAATAGACAGAAATATCAGCACGATAAACGAGCCAAGTCATTTCCTCAGATTCGACCAAGAGAGTCTGTAACGGTTCGAGTTAACAGAAACTGGGAGCCCGCTCAGGTACGTCGGAAAAACACTAAGCCCAGGTCATTTATCATTCAGACACCAACGGAAGGGAGTACAAGAGCAACAGGAGAGACCTGCTCAGGACAGCAGAACCTCCACCTACTATCGTTGGTCCAGAGATTGATGAGCCAACAGCAACAACGACGAACACTACGTCAGAGCCGCGCACACCAGTATCAAGGCCACACGGAACCCCAGGGAAACAACAAATCTCCGATGTTCCAAAATCTGTACCAGCTGCTACTAATGTTTCGAACAGTGTGAGAACAGCAAGTGGTCGCGTTGTGAAACCACCTAGTTGGTTCAAAGACTATACTCAGTGATCACGTGTGTGTAAGACTGGTGGTAAAAACCAATCTCTACGGCGAGTCATGTGCTGGTTACCTCTGACTCCACAAACTTTTCAAGTGTTCTCATGTAAATCGTCTTTAGTTTGTTCATTTTCTACATTTGATGTTTGTTGATGAAAGGGCAACAGACAAAATTAATTTATTTTCATAAATTTTCAATGAGATCTTACTAGTCAAATCTTGTGGACACTGAATTTGAAATATAGTCATTTTTATAAACTTTGAAAGTGGACATTCAAATCTACATTATATTATTAAAATGAAATGCAGTGTAATTACTTTTTTCAAAAAAGAGAGATGTTGCATATATTGTGTTTATGCTACATGTCTGTCCGGGTCGTTCCGGTATGTCTAATCATTTAATTAGTATCACCTAATAAATTGTATATTATTGTCCAATCAGATTACAGTATTGAATAAACTCAGTATTTGTCCGCACCTCGTGTTTTGTACACACATTTCTGTAACAAATACCATCACGCTTGTGTGGTACCCTTCTGTAGTGACAATACTAATACAATGCTAATGTGGTACCATCCATACTGAAATTAGCACGATGCTATTGTGGTATCTGTTCATAGTAACCATAGCATGACGGTAATGGGGTGCCATCCTTAGTTACAATGGCATGACGCTAGTGATGTACACGTCCATAGTGACATTATCATGATACTAACGTGGTGTCTGTCAATAGTGACAATATCATGATACTAACGTGGTGTTTGTCCACAGTGATAATATCATGATACTAACGTGGTGTCTGTCCATAGTGACAATATCATGACACTAACGTGGTGCCTGTCCATAGTGACAATATCATGATACTAACGTGGTACCTGTCCATAGTGACAATATCATGACACTAACGTGGTGCCTGTCCATTGTGACAATATTATGATACTAACTTGGTGTTTCTGCATAGTGACAATATCATGATACTAACGTGGTACCTGTACATAGTGACAATATCATGATACTAACGTGATTCCTGTCCATAGTGACAATATCATGATACCAACGTGGTATCTGTCAATAGTGACAATATCATGATACCAACGTGGTATCTGTCCATAGTGACAATATCATGATACTAACGTGGTGTCTGTAAATAGTGACAATATCATGATATTAACATGGTGTCTGTAAATAGTGACAATATCATGATACTAACGTGGTACCTGTCCATAGTGACAATATCATGATACTAACGTGATACCTGTCCATAGTGACAATATCATGATACCAACGTGGTGTCTGTCCATAGTGACAATATCATGATACCAACGTGGTATCTGTCCATAGTGACAATATCATGATACCAACGTGGTACCTGTCCATAGTGACAATATCATGATACTAACGTGGTATCTGTCCATAGTGACAATATCATGATACTAACGTGGTACCTGTCCATAGTGACAATATCATGATACTAACGTGGTATCTGCCCATAGTGACAATATCATGATACTAATGTGGTGTCTGTCCGTAGTGACAATATCATGATACTTAAGTGTTGCATGTCCATATTGACAACATCATGGCACAACGTGGTGTCTGTCCATAGTGACAATATCATGACACTAACGTGGTGCCTGTCCATTGTGACAATATCATGATACTAACGTGGTGTCTGTCCATAGTGACAATATCATGATACTAACGTGGTGTCTGTCCATAGTGACAATATCATGACACAACGTGGTACCTGTCCATAGTGATAATATCATGATACTAACGTGGTATCTGTCCATAGTGACAACATCATGACACAACGTGGTACCTGTCCATAGTGATAATATCATGATACTAACGAGGTGCCCCTATATAGTGACAATAGCACGACACCATATGGTATCCATCGAAAGTGACAATACGTCGATACTAGCGAATGATCGATCCCTACTGACAATAACGCGAGGCTAGGTAATGCTGTTCTCTTATGTAGAACTCATCCTCCTAACCAGTCAAACAACCATCACAATATGTGCTGCAAGGGAAGTAACTCCAATAAGACATGAATGTATATAATATTTTCAGGTGTGTAAAAGTCGAAAACTTTATATTGGCGTAGATTTATGTACAGGCTAATAAGCCCATTATCATCAACACACGAAGTCACCAACAAATAGTGATAATTATATATAAAAGGACATGTTTCATAATTAAATAAAAGATTACACTGGTAAATCCTCGTCTTTTGTGTCCGCTGTTTAAGTAGAATTATTGAAAATTGATTGATTGTGAAGTTTCATTTAAATCCAACGGTCAGGAAATTAACATCAAAGACATAAAGTTATGTGTGACATGTCGGGGTAAGGGTAGATATCATTTTTGTGATTGATGGAAATACTTTTCAATGTCCAGTAACTGTCCGAAGATTTTCGTCTTCGTCCGTATTCCCATGTATATCTCTCGTGAGAAGGTGAAAACAGTTCACCTCTGATCACCTGCATCCTTCACAGTATCTGTAAGTTCTGTTTTTCCCACGGAGATTAATCGTTCAGTGAAGAATAAGTTCAAGTGGTACTGCTGAACTCTACTGACCAAATAAAGCAAAGAGACAGGCGGTCCGTTATCAAGGTGGATAGAAAAGGCGGGGGTAAATGTGTTTTACTCCTTTAAATATAATTCAAAAGTAGCCATATGTCTTCAGACAAGGCTGACCAGGTCTATAAGCAGTATGGCTCATATCTGCCTCTAAACAATTCCATATCACGCCCCATATCAGCTCTTCAACCAGATGCTAGTAACCATCCGGAATGTCTTTCCTCTCTAAAATCCTTGATGGACCTGTTTATCAGTCTCCTGATGACTGAGACAGTTCTGAAACAGAGATCCATGGGTATGTTGACTTATCTGTCTCCTGATGACAGAGACAGTTCTCAAACAGAGACCCATAGGTATGCTGACTTATCTGTCTCCTGATGACAGAGACCCATAGGTAGGCTGACTTACCAGTCTCCTGATGACAGAGACAGCTCTGAAACAGAGATCCATAGGCACGCTGACTTACCTGTCTCCTGATGACTGAGACAGTTCTGAAACAGAGACCCATAGGTATGCTGACTTATCTGTCTCCTGATGACAGAGACAGCTCTGAAACAGAGACCCATAGGTATGCTGACTTATCTGTCTCCTGATGACAGAGACAATTCTCAAACAGAGACCCATAGGTATGCTGACTTATCTGTCTCCTGATGACAGAGACAGCTCTGAAACAGAGACCCATAGGTATGCTGACTTACCTGTCTTCTGATGACTGAGACAGTTCTGAAACAGAGACCCATAGGCACGCTGACTTATCTGTCTTCTGATGACAGAGTCAATTCTCAAACAGAGACCCATAGGTATGCTGACTTACCTGTCTCCTGATGACAGAGACAGTTCTCAAACAGAGACCCATAGGTATACTGACTTATCTGTCTCCTGATGACAGAGACCCATAGGTAGGCTGACTTACCTGTCTCCTGATGACAGAGACAGCTCTGAAACAGAGACCCATAGGTATGCTGACTTACCTGTCTTCTGATGACTGAGACAGTTCTGAAACAGAGACCCATAGGCACGCTGACTTATCTGTCTTCTGATGACAGAGTCAATTCTCAAACAGAGACCCATAGGTATGCTGACTTACCTGTCTCCTGATGACAGAGACAGTTCTCAAACAGAGACCCATAGGTATGCTGACTTATCTGTCTCCTGATGACAGAGACCCATAGGTAGGCTGACTTATCTGTCTCCTGATGACAGAGACAGCTCTGAAACAGAGACCCATAGGTAGGCTGACTTACCTGTCTTCTGATGACTGAGACAGTTCTGAAACAGAGACCCATAGGCACGCTGACTTATCTGTCTTCTGATGACAGAGTCAATTCTCAAACAGAGACCCATAGGTATGCTGACTTACCTGTCTCCTGATGACAGAGACAGCGTCTGAAACAGAGACCCATAGGTATGCTGACTTACCTGTCTCCTGATGACAGAGACAGCTCTGAAACAGAGACCCATAGGCACGCTGACTTATCTGTCTCCTGATGACAGAGACAGTTCTGAAACAGAGACCCATAGGTATGCTGACTTATCTGTCTCCTGATGACAGAGACAGTTCTGAAACAGAGACCCATAGGTATACTGACTTACCTGTCTCCTGATGACAGAGACCCATAGGTATGCTGACTTACCTGTCTCCTGATGACAGAGACAGCTCTGAAACAGAGACCCATAGGTATACTGACTTACCTGTCTCCTGATGACAGAGACAGCTCTGAAACAGAGACCCATAGGTATACTGACTTACCTGTCTCCTGATGACAGAGACAGCGTCTGAAACAGAGACCCATAGGTATGCTGACTTACCTGTCTCCTGATGACAGAGACAGCTCTGAAACAGAGACCCATAGGTATACTGACTTATCTGTCTCCTGATGACAGAGACAGCTCTGAAACAGAGACCCATAAGTATGCTGACTTACCTGTCTCCTGATGACAG